TGAATCATTTTAAAAAGCTATTAAGCTAAAGAAAATGAGCATAGTTTTCTAGTAATGACTTATCTTCTTCAGAATGAAATTGGTAAAAATCCCTGATTGTAGATGTATATCCCCAAAGACATCGGAATTTAGGGACGTGCTGGTTGGAGGAAAACGATGATCTTTGTTATACATTGATCTGTTTTATCTCAGTATAATTTACTTGTATACTTGTGTACTTGGTATATTTAGTGATATGCTTGGATGAACCTTTTTATTTAAAATCTCCCTAGTTTTGTTTTCAATCTGGTGCTTAAAAGCAATGTTCTTCCATTTTTTAAATATACACTTCAATAGATGTATATAGACACACGTGCTAAATATAAGTACAATTTTATTCATAAGCGCACATAATTCAGATTCTGATTGTTAATAAAAATGCATTTCTAACCATCAAATTCAAGTCTATTATTCTAAGTTAATTGCATTTGCCCTAAAGAGACTTGAAACTGGCTGTCAGCCTATTTGTGTCAGTTTCATTTTATTCATCAGTCAATCTTGTCTTTCTTTTTTTTACATCCCATATATTGATCAAATAGATTTGTTAGCATGCCTGTTCAGCTTTGGAGATAGGGGAAGGAGTTTATGTTATCCATCAGAGTTGTTTGATTACTGTATTAGTTTGTATTTATCTTAATTGATATTTCCATAGCAAATAAATGCACTTTTTGACGGGCCCATAAGTTTCCTATTAAATATAAATCGCCTAATATGTTTCTTGGATATGGATCTTGTTGAGAGAGGAAAATCAACCACATAAAATAGATTAGATTCTCCCCGTGCATCATTTTTGCTAGTCAAAAAACAGTCGTTTTGGTGATTGCTGATCAGGTTGAGAATAAGACAAGGTCCTTGTGATACCTTTAGAGAAAACTCAGTAACCAATTAACAGCTTTATAATTTATTTTGCTGAAGACTTCTTTGTAACAAAAATGCTCACTTACCTCCCTGTGAAGGCCTTTAACTGTTATCTTCATTTTTGGCAAGGAAACCAGTAGTGAAAAACAAGGATGAAATAATGTTGTAATAAACTCTCCTTTAAAAAAAAATCTAAGGCTGCACTGCACTTCATAAAGTACGCCAGGCTGGGACAAAGAATTGGGTGGGATTAAAACCAATGTTTATTGGATGTAATTTTAATTAATCTGAAATTAATCAATGAAATGCAGATAACACAATTGCTCTTTAATTAGTTTCCCTTTTGTTGCACTAAAAATTGACAGCAACTTCTGGAGGACTCTGGGGGCCACAGCTGGAGGTTGGGGACCACTTGTAGCTCTGAGTCTCAGGGTTGTGCACCCTTAGTATAAACAATCTAAAGTGTTGCTCTAAAGCAGTGTTTCTCAATTTTGGCAGCTTGAAGATGTATGGACTTCAACTCTTAGAATTCCCCAGGAGTTGAAGTCCACACATCTTCAAATTGCCAAGATTGAGAAACACTGCCCTAAACACACAACGCCACTTCTTTCAAGGGGGCTGAGTTCACCTGAGAGCTTGGGCTTGTTCTTCTTGCCTTCTCCTTCCCTGTATCAAATCTTTCTCCCACTTCCTCTTTTTTGAAGCTGGAAATCCTTGGGGATGTCCTAGAGGAGAGATGGACATGCTGTGTGGAGGAGGGGGGGACAGAATTTATCTCCCTGTATGAGCAGAAGAGCAACTTAAGCTGCAGTTCTACAGGCGCAGATCCAAGAATGAGTCATGATGAATTTGTTTAATACTTCTTCTTATATACATGTAAAATTCTGCTTTTAGCATTCAAGCCTGTGGGACTTTTAGGTGCACGTTTGAGAAGTTTTGACATCATATCTACTTTGCTGATTTGCCTATCTTTTTAATTGTGTTTTAAACTAAAACAAAGCATTAAAGATCAGCTTAAGAAAATACAGAATAATCCAAAAGAAAATAAACAAAAAGGAAACACGTAAATAATCTTGAGTGTAAGGTCGGTAAGGAAATTTGCTGGTGTATCAATTTTTCAGCCAATGCAGTTTCCCATACTTTTATTTACTATTCAACTAAAGGGAAATATTTTCCAATATTTTACAGCATTGTGTCTGTTTGCTAAAAGCAGAAATTATTTAAATATAATTAATTTGCATAAGTTTTAGGAAAAGATAAACAGTAAATCAACTGCAGGATTAACTGGAACGATTGCTGAGTGATTTCACAATTTTCCCCCAAATAAGTTTGATCCAGCTGAAGATCTCTTTCAAAAATAGCTCATTCTGAAAGACACAGTTGGTTATAAAGCTCTTACACTGAAAAGTATCGCTTACACTTGAAAGATACAATTGACTGATTTACATAGACCAAGATGAAGAAAGTTAAATGAAAGAAAGAAGATCCATTCAGAAAGAGGCATTTTCTGGATGAAACAGCTAGTTTTTTGAGAAGGAAGGAATACATTATCCACAGTACACTAGTATGAAGAATTTTAAGCAAGCAATCGTTCATATCAATGATCAATGATCAAGGGATTCCTTCTTTCTATATGTATGTTCTTTCTTCATTTATAAATCTTAGTTCATATTTTTAAATTATCAACATTTATATGCATATTGCAAGTCTAGGTGACATATAATAAAAATCTAAAAAATCCATAAAAATACATCATGCTAAGGTAAATATATAAAAATATTGTTGTCTGACTAAATCCCTCCCTATCCAGATGCTCTTGGAAAGAGAACTGTGTGTTTGCCAATGTCCTAAAAATTAAAAAGGGTGGGGCTGACCTGCCCTTAGGGGCCATGCTATTCCAGAAACAGGGGGCAGTAGCTGAGAATGTCACTCTCTGGGTCTCAGCCCCTCAGGCAACCAGTATAGCTTCCATAGAACAGAGGCCATTTTATTAAACTGGCTACTGTTGATCAACAAGAAGATAAGCTGCCTTCTGTGCTGGCCTCAGCTTTCAAATTATCTTCCAGGGCAACTGGTCTTTTATTAAAAAGTTGCAGCCACCAACTTTCTTCTTTTGTTTAAAAACTGCTTTTTTTGAGGCGGGGGGGGGGGTCCACAGTAATTACTTTTCAATTTTAGTCTGCCATTCTTATGCACTGAAATACTAAATCCCAGAATTGCTATCAAGACTGTGGAGCGCCTGAATATTCCCACCAAATCAGACATCCAGTAACAACACTTATTCCCATTTCTTATCTTCAGAGCTCATTTAGGTCCTGCAGTATCTGTTATAAAGAGGAACATATATAGGTGTGATGGGTGGTGGAAACGATCCTTACAATTATAGAAAAACAAAGAAAAGGGGGAATTATCGTTCCATGAAAGACGTTTCAAAGACCTCCTGTTTAAACAACAACAACAACTTTCTTAAAATCCCTAGTAAAGATGCCTGGCGAGGAAACTGTCACACTCCATGATCCTCAACTGACTTTAACAAGATATTCACACGTGCAAAAGTTTTTGCTCTATCTGTGGAAGACATGTATAAACAATCCCAATAGGGTGGTGCACTTCACTAGGAGACAAGTGGCAGAAATAAAGGACTTTCTTACACTGTAGTCTAAAAACCCAAGATTCCAGGATAGTCAATAATGAGAAAGTTTCTGAAAATTATTGGCCCAATTATATGCGACATTTTTCAACCTGATTATGAACTAATATTACATTCATATATGTTGCATGTTTGATTAACAAGGAAAACATATTTGGCTTTGACCCTTTTGGTGATGTTCATTCTCTAACTTGCGCCAAAAAGATCAAACTAAGATACTGATTACATTCTCTTCTGTTGGCAGAGTTCAGGCTATGCTCATGAAGGAGTCCATGTCGTATTAATGCCACCATTATAAGGATCATTATATGCTGGTGTAAATCAGCCTCTTTAGAAAATCCAAAACAGGCAGCTTTGATGAGGTGGTATAGGAGCAATGGTAATGCAGGAGGCTTAGCCAGGGATGGACTAAAGGACAATTGGTCTCTATTGACAGATTGCTAGGACTGGCCACAGTTTCAGGCTCTTGCACATTTCACACATTTATTTCTTTTCTAGAGTTAGAATGTGCTCCAGTTCCTTAACTGAAAATATCTATCTTCCTCCTCTTTTTGATCAGTCTTGGGATTCTAGAAAAAAATCCCAATAACCAATCAATGTACTAGTCTGAAGCCCACCCACTTTAAACCTTATCCCTATCGTCATGACAGTGTGAATAATACTTGTGAATAATACTTGCAAAATATATTAAAAGTTAAATTTTGACTTCAGTGGCCCAAATTTTCTTTTTTTTACTTCAACAGCCCTGTGGAAGAGGTAAGTGAATCATGTTGCCCCATCGCCATCAGTTCATTTCCCAATTCAAGTACAAGGGGCAGAGGGGTCATTTCTATGATTTCCAGGAAGGGCAGAATTAGCAAAAATTGTGGGCTCTTGTTAGCCGTCAGCAGCCTATACAGTAGTTGTATAGCTACTATTGTAGAGTTCTCTGGGTGATGCATGCAACATAGAGTAGATATACCAGGAAATTAGAAAAGCTGTGAATGTCTGAGAGTAAAGTTGTTATGTGCTAGGTGTTTTAGAAAAATAAAGATCATAGAAGGCACAATTCTACATAAGAGTCCTGTTTCTCCCACTATTTCTGCCTAATTCCCTCCCCAACCAACTAACAAAGTTTCTACAAGCTAGCAATTGTGAGTCCCCCTCCAATTGCTTAGGGTTTTCTTCTGACTCTTCCTGAAATCATATCCAACCTCCCCTCCCTCCTCTAAACAACAAAAAATGGTAATAAACAGCAATTGATGGTTGACCCAATGAGTGCAAATGGCAGGAAAACAGGTTTTGACTAAATACAGTAAAAACAATTAGAACAAGATTGTTCTGGTAGATTCTTTTTTGCTGGTGAAATTTAAACAGAAGCTAGACAGCCAACTGTCAGGGAGTGAATTCCACATTTTAATATCTTTTTTTTTTTTTCCTGGTCTCTCCCATTCTTCTTCCTAGGACTGTCCAGCCCTATTTTACATCCTCTTGGAGATCCAAGTAAGTACAGATTTTAAGGTACTCTTCTTCTGAATATTTGGAGATCTTATTTATTGTATTCACTGATTAAAAAAGCAGAGTTACATTAGTTTGTATCTTCAAGTTCAATCTCCTGTTTTGTAAATTCCCCATAAATGTTTATTTAAAATATGTATATCTATTTTCTTTTTTTAAAATAATATTTTTATTAAACGTGTTGGCCACAGTAATAAAAGATAATACAAACTAAAATGAAAAAAAGAGGGAATAAAAAATGCAAGAAAGCAAATAGAGAGAAAAATAGAAAGAGAAAAGAAAAATAGTTTAGAAAGCCACTTCCCATCCTTATCACAAGTATAAACAATTTCACTATCTCTTCACCCCTTTTTAGTTAACAAATATAAAACTCTTCATCCCATAACTCAGCTATAGGTTAGTCCAGTAAACGTGTTTTCCAATCCAGATGTCAGCAAAAAGTCCAAACCGAGCCCTAAAATAATAGCATTCATTAACAAATACAAAACTCATCATTCCATGTCTCAACTCTTAACTGTAAGCAAATCCAATATACGTCTTTTCCAGTCCAGATGTCAGCATGTACATATATTTTCTAATCGTTAGTTTGCTGTTGTGTTGTGGCTTTGTTTTGCTTTTGGGCTGTTAGCTTACCTTGGGTTAGCTGTTTTTGTTTTTGTATTAAGACATTCATTCATTCATTCATTCATTCATTCATTCAAAGCCTTTTATATTGCTCTATTTGCAGTGGCAAATACAGCAATATAAAAGGCTTTGAATGAATTAATTAATCATTTTCAAAATGCCTTAAAATAAGTGAGCAATAGCCAAAGGTGTTAAAGTAAGCCACCAGAAGATGGAAACAGGACATTATACAGCCCTTCCTGGGATAATAGCATCATTTTACTGGATCCCCATAAACCATTAAAATGGAGTAAAGGAAAGGAAATTGAAAGGCCAATCCCATTGGATATAATGATATAATTTAAAAGCTGCACTGAGTGTCACAATTAACATCACCGGAGAGATGACTAGCACTGAATGTTATGCCTGAGTGCCCAAATCATTTGATCATCCACAGTTTGATTTGAAGGGTACTACTTGCTGCTAAGTCTTTGCAGACAGACTATTGAAGGCCAGCCCATAGATATGGAGAAAGGTGAAGATTTTGTGGGATTTTACTTGAACCTGTGACTTCATCCATGTAGTTTTCTTGGCATGATATGGAAAGCATTTACTATTACTGTCTTCTGGAATGTTCTGTCAACCTCCCAGGCTAGCAAACAGCCTGGATTTCCACATACTGTCCCAAGTAATCATCTGGGCTGATCCTACTTAGCTTCCAAAATCACCTAAGGTCAGCCAAGTGAGGCTACCTGCTGAAGCTCCACAAAAATGTACCTCTTTATCTTAGAAAGTCACCTACCTCCTTTCTGAAGAATGAGATGGGCTGCCCACAAGATTACTGTCAGGCAAGATCACATGGGAGCAGAAAATCTTTTATGGAGTCTACTACCATGTTGTTTACAGGGCTTTCAAGAAAGCTTAAGACCAAACTGGTTCACCAATGAATCTCTTTCTGTATTGGCAATCTATCTTCCCTTATCTGTGCATCAGTTAAGAGCCATGCAGCTGTATTCTCCATCAACTGAAATTTATGGACAGGTTTTGGAGGTAGATCTCTTCCAGTTTGTCTGAAAGAGATGTGTGGGACCCTGAACTGGAGGCCATACTCAAGGTAGGGTCTGCCCATTCTGATTGGGTTTAGTTCTGGCATAATTATCCCTGTTTTTTTTGTTTTTTACAGTATCGTGTCCTTTCATAGTACATTTATTTTATTCATGTTATAGTCCTTGGTGTGAGTGTTCACTAAATGATCTGCTGCAATACCCCATCTCCCCTGATCAATTGCCGAGAGAAGTGAATCCCTTCCACAAGCCATCATTATGAAAGGGAAGTAACCTGGGTTGTATTTTTGGAATCTAACACCCCCCCCCCATGCCACCCCCTCAACATACCTCTTTTGTTCTGTCAATCGAAGGCAAAGTACTCATGTGATGTAATTTAGAATGGAGCTTTGTTTCTTTTTTTCTTTTTCTTTTTCTTTTTCAAGAAAAGCTTTCAGTCTGGAAAAGCTTTAGGAACTCTGGGGGAAAAGCTTAGCTCAAAGAAAAAAAGAGAAAGCAAGTCTGCCCTGACAGCTTGATCCCGGGGAGAGGTGGCTGGGCTGTTGTCTAACAGGTCCTCTGGGTCCTGATGAGGCAGACACAGAGGAACGAGTCGTATTAAGTGAATGTGTGCTGGCAGGGCTCAAGGAGCAATTACCATTATGTTGCACAGTTCACTCTTTGCTATTGCTATTTCCTTCAATAAAACCCCTGCTCACTTGCCAATTGGAGCTTGTCATCTCACAATATTTCTCATGCACAATACACAGAGTAAAATGCCCTTGTGTTTTAAACACATTTGGAGATGTGAACAATAGTGGTTATACTGACAGCAAAAAAGTGCTTGCTTTGAATATAGCTCAGAAACAAAGAAGGGGAGAGAGTACAACTCTACTCCAAAGGGGTATACAGGTATAGTTTTGCCCACACACACAAACACACACACACACACATTTTCTCTCTCTCACACACAGCCTCTCTCACTCACATACACACATCATGTGTGACTTACATGTGACAGGCCTTATTCTAGTTGCTGCTTATCAGCAGAAGAAGGACCTATTGATGCCAATACATGCTTTCCAATAGCATTGTTTACCATAAAATAAAGCAAGCCTCTGAATAAGTCTACAGCTGAAAAGTTAGGCTGTGCAACAGGTGCCCTTCAGGCTTTCCAGCCTTGTTTTGCAGAAAATATCTCAACTGAAGCTGAAAGTTTCATGAAAAATGACAAGGATTGACCAGTTGGGGTGTAATAAAGACGGCAGGTAGCTGAAGGCAAACTCTTCTCTTTTAAATAGTCTTAGTTGCAGAAAAAAAATTCAGAGAAATTACAGAGATCTCCAAGGCTCTTTGTAAGCTCAGGAAATGAAAATCAATGGGGTTTCATCTCCACTGCCCCCATATTTTTAGATACTATTATGAAATTGTTCATAATTTTCCAGAATGGGGTGAAGGGAGGAGTCAATGCCAGCCACCTGCTCAGCATACCAAACTTTATCTTTGTTTGCATCAGCGTCTAAGAAAATTATTCAAATGTCTTATTTTTGGAAATGTGCTGAATAAATGGTGTTTTCATGCCATTCTTGAACAAGATTAACTTAGCCAAGGTTTACTCAGTCCAAATTTCTGGATTCACATCAAACACTAGTTTAAAATGTGATCAGGTTACATTCAGTGTGTCATGTGAGCCCAGCTTTTGGAGCTTAACCAAAAGAAGAAAGAGGTGCTGGTGATCAGCAAGAAGGCAAAACAGAGACAGGGTATTCAGCATATGCTTGATGGGATAATGGTCCTCTTGGGGAAAAAAACAAAACACCCCCCCCCCCGAAGGACCAGTAGTTATTTACTCAGGAAGAAAAATTACTTCAAAATCCATTGAGTAATACCTTTAATAGGACTACTGCAGTTTTACAAAATTGTTACATACCTTTGGGTTTCTTCTTCATCAGATAAGATGGCTTTAGGGGAAAAAAAGAGAAGAAAAAAGATGGAGAAAAGGTGACTGATCTTGGAGACCTACAAAATGGGTTTTGGTCTAGAATAGTGTTAGGTGAACCTCGTACTCTCCCCTTGCTTGCTGGGAAGAAGAGGCCAGCAAGGCCTGGCAAGTATGTCATTCTTGGAATTACAAATTCCAACTCTTAAGGTAAAAAATGTTTCCAACCTTTGTAAGAGATGGCAGATCCCTCGGTGCATGAAAGAAGAAAAATCAGCCTTGTAAGCTTGATATTAACAAAGCTGTTTATAATATGAGCTGTGGTATTAGATTTTTTGTTTGTTTGTTTAAGTCAATGGTGAATTCAATTAAATAAGATTACCTAGTGATGGGAAGGAAAAAGACCAGTTTGGTTACAACTTGGGAGAATGAGGTCCATGTCTACCCTCAGCTATGGAAGCAAACTGGATAACTTTGGGCCAGTTACTTTCTCATCCCAGTCTACCTCATAAAATTATTATAGAGGGAAATTAGAGGAGAAAATCTGCCTTCAGCTCCTAGAAAAAGAGCAGGATAATAAATCTGACACATGGATAAATATACCCAATCTATATCTAACAAATCAATAAAAAGATACAGCAAAGTGATACCAGATTCCCCTTCCTTTGTGTAAGATGTCCCTACAGAACAGTTAAACGTTGAATTTAGGTCTCTGAGGGATCACAGGTTTTCCACCTCTTCCCTGAATACATATAATTATTGTTATTATTGTCAGTTGTTGTTGGCTGACATTCTTTTTTTAAATTTTGTGTTGTGGATTGTCATTTTTATAATTATGTTGATATTTTTAACCTCTGCTTGCTGCTCAGAGCTGTTTATGGGAGATGGGTGGTCATATACATTGAATAAAATAGAATAAAAATAAAATAAATGTGCACATCTGTAGCTATCCTAGTCTTTCCTTTTCCAACTACCTGCTTTTTAAAAATTCAGATATTTTTTCCCTGACTGCTAGGGTTTTTTTTTTAATAGCTAAAGGTAATTGTAAAGGAAGAAAAAAGGAATATAAACAATATATCGTGACTCTTGACACTCCATTGCTTTCTTAAATGAGAATAATAAAATTTTGCAGATGAACAAAAGAGTGGGAGGAAGCTATCTGATTTACAATGTTTTTGAGATAAAGAACACCATAAAAAAAAGAGATCAATGTGAATAATAAACCATTGTTAACTGAGTCATGACATTTCTATTCTTAGGGAAAATCTGAAGAGTAGAAATCTGCAAATGAGCACCTTATGCCATTTTCAAAGTGGGAGGAAGATGTGTAATTATAATTTCTGAAGTGGTGAAAGTTTTATTTAAATTGCAGGGGAAAATAATTGAAAAACATATCGACATATCAATATTACATAAATTGCTTTAATTTTATTAAACTGGTTGTGGGAGCAAGTCTTTTCTTCCTCTTCCTGCCATCCCTCTCTCTCCCTTCTACAACTTCTTGTTTTGTATGATGTTCTGGCTACAAAATGTCTTCCCTGAAAGCCATTTCTTTAGTAAAAGTGCAGCAGGAGAACCATAGGAGAGATGAAATGCCTCCACATGTCAACCCAGCATACGTTTATTCTAATCCTTCCAGGAGCTGAGACCTATTAAAAAGGTTCCTATTTTCAAAATGGGTTTAACCACTTATGTCTCAAGTGTCTACCTCTAATTGCCTTTACCTGACACATTTAATATATGCAAAATTAACAACACTTATTTTAATTAAATGTGCAAAAAAAAGAAAGAAAGAAAGAAAGAAAGAAAGAAAGAAAGAAAGAAAGAAAGAAAGAAAGAAAGAAAGAAAGCGTTTTCCAAAAAGTCAAAGTTAACTTGGCATGCAGTCTCTACATTTTCCTTAATCAATGGGACAAGGATTAATGGTTATAATCATTGACAAAATAATTTCATCCCATTCATACTTAAAGTGGCTATGCAAATTAACAGTCAAGAATCAAAGTAAGGAAATGTAAACTGACTTGGACAGTGCAACGATTGCTGGTCTTCATAGAGTATTTAGCTGCAGTTTGTTTCTAGTTTGGCTACCTTCTCAGGCTTGGAGAAGTGGACTCTCTGAATCTTTCCCAATATGATATCATCACTTTAAGTATTGCTTGGAAAAGGGGTCTGTAACTCTTTCATTATGTGAAGACCTAGCTCTTAGAGAAGGCTCTAATGATGGGCAAGGTGGAAGGAAAGAGAAGAGGATGACCAGCAGCAAGGTGGATGGACTAAGTTACAGTAGCAATAAGTGCACCATTGGAAGATCTGAAGGACCAGGTTAGGGACAGATCATCATGGAGAAAATCTATCTGTGTGGCTGCTAGGAGTAGAAAATGACTTGATGGCACATAATCAATCAATCATCACTCTCCCGCATGCTACATTGAGTCCAGATAGGTTTAGATTTCTGGGTAAAGTCATTCCAGGAAGGGGGATGTTCCAGTGACCAAAAGTACTTTGTCTTTGATGAAGAAAGTTTACCCAAAGCTTGCCCAAGGTAATCACATGGGAAGTTTTCTGTTCCTCACCATGAAAAAGAAATGCTGCAAAAAAACAAAAGATTGGGGGGTAAGCTGCCCTTGTTGTTGCCATTCCTTTGGTTAGCTTTAGATAAGTGCTTTTGCTGCCTGGAACAAAGCAACTAGTAGCCTACAGTCTAAATCACTGTGAAAGTAAAGTCTACAAATTTATTTTGATATGAGGCAGAAAAAAAGTCAAGAAAACCTTCAGGACTTTTTGTCAGTATCTGGTAAAACAAAAAACCATAATCATAATTTAAATAACTAACAATTTAGTTAGTTTCAGGTCACCAAATATATGGTGCTTGAGGTGGCTGGAGCATTCTGCCAAATGTAAAGGCCAGATCCAAGAGAAACCAAATGAATCCATTAAAGACAAGTAATCGTATTCAACAATGTCCATACAAATCATATTTAATCCAATAGATTATGGTTCTCAGACTTTTCCTTTACGTTGGACCATTACTTTAATTGCTAAAGTTCTTGTGGAGCAGTATATAACAAAGCAATTAATAAATCTGTGCTCATAGGTACTATAGCATGCAATACTTACTCGGATGGCTTCTGAGGAACTCTCCAATTAATTTAATTTAATTTAAAAATTAAACATTTCAGGTTGGTTGACATTTTGCAAGAGGGCAACATCTCACAGCATTTTAGTTTTTCTGGTCTTTTCTGAAATTTTGAGATTTTTAACCACATTTTTAAATACATCAGTTGCAGTACTATTGTGAACACTGGATCCTGAACCAGGTTGGGAATTATTGTAACAGGATCTTTATAGAGAGGGAGGGAGAGAGGGAGGGAGGGAGG